CACTCTCTTCTCGAACCCGTGGAAACTGAAATCAACAGAAGCTGCTTCAGATGGATCTCACCAACGAATCAGACCTTCTTTCGCTTACTCGGCTTGTTTGCTGGCTCACTGGTGCAACAAAGACAGCGGTACAGAAAACGTTTGGTGACTTCGGGTTGGGAAGGTTGTTTTACTGATGCTCTGGGCAGCCAAACTTGTACGTGCAATACGCGTGTAAAGCCATGCCGTTCTTCATTTAGGTGCATACGAGGTTAGACTCTCACAAACTGCGGCTGCGATGCACCGTGACTCCGCGGATGCGGGAGCATCTGAAGGTGAAAGGGCATGCGCCATTGCTGGCGATTCAAGTTGTTGGGTCGCCGCGGATTATCCTATCCGTTCAAGGCCCACTATAAGTCAATAACCACTTTAAGATCGTTTGCTGAGGCCGTTTTGATCTCAGAAATTCAGCTTTTAAGATCAAAATGGTCTGACACAACGTTTAAGACCAGAATAGTTTGAAAACCTGAATAGGTTTAAGACTGAAGTGGCCTCACAACGATCTTAATTAAATCGGGCTATCATTTATAGTGAGGATTCATTTGGGGCCCTTCGACTGCACATGCGGGGATTCACAAATTCACGTATCCGCTTTGACATGTAGAAGGGATGGAGGCTCAGATGCCACGTCGTGCGTGAGTCAATTTTGGGTTGATCTACGTCACGAGCCCAACATAGCAATCTTTTCCGAGCCCAAATATCACGAGGGGATTGTACGTGTTACTCGTGTTTCGCGGTTCCTCCGTCCGAAGCATTGAAGGGCCACTGAACAACACTGCCTGGGCTAATTTGAAACCGAACAAATAAGAAACGCTTGGTAAGACGGGTGCATGGAGCCCTGCGTTTACGCTCAGTACCAATCCACTCTATCTCACGATAACGGCCATTCAGTCGAACCCATTTTTGCGAAACACTATTCTTAACCGGCAAACGCCAAAAGCTTTGTGACTGTTAAAGGAAATTTTTTGAAGTACTTCTGATGGGCTCGGTCCAATGGATCCAACTCACGTGCACTTCTGACCCAAACAAAACAAAGTCAGGCGCACTTTTATCATTGCCCTTCGACTGAGACGTTTTGTGCTGTGCCCAATCCGTGGCAAACGTTTTTTCTTCTAGCTAGACGCAAAGCAATGCTCGCACTCCGAGTGTTGCGAGCCGGGTTGCAAAATCAAGCGACTTTCGGACTGTCGGACTGAACGGATGCCAGTTTGATATATTGTTTGCATAGGGCTGAAGTAGACACACCAAGAGCACCTCGCGCGCGAGCAGTGTGTGCATTTGTACAGCTGCACAAAGCAGGCTTCGAGAGCTTCAGAAGTGGGTCGAAGTGTTAAATGAGCACAAATAAGCCCCGATACGCGCCCTTTCTTCCTTGCTCCCCGCGATGGCAATCTGTACAACCTAAGTAGCAGTCGAATAAATAGCCTCAACGTCGCTGGACAAATTTCGAGAGACTGATGTTCGTAGACGATCAAAGCTCGCCTAAGTTGCGAACGTTCAGGTACCCAGAAGAAGTTGTAGACAAGACGATACGAATGATTCCACGCCACGTTGGCAAAAAAAGGTTAGTTCCGTAGCTCTTGATCCACGCTACTTGATCGTCTTCGGAGGTGGGGCGAGAGTCTGGGCGACAGTCACCACCCAACTGGTCTGTCACTTCCTTGCCGCGCATAGTTCCAATCCAGATCGATAAGAAACTTTTTAACTTTTTGGTTGGGCTTCGTGCGCTGAGAAGCTGCATTCGTAACATGAATCGATCTTTCTCTTGAAAGATTTGAGACGAAGCGACGGTAGTTGTTTCAGGAGTCAGAATCTAATGCAAGCGCCGCAGTCGCAAACGGGAACTACTTCGAAGGTATGCGCACGCCCAACAAGGCCCATCTGGTACGAACCAAAAGACGAGAATCAAAAGATTGTACGAGCTGAATATTAAAGTTTTCAGGTCTTTCAAGATTTTGCAGTAATCCGCTATGTTAAGCGAGTCCAACTTTGTGGCGCCGCAATTAGATTCTTTGCAATCCATGGAACAAGACAGTTGCGGTACCTCAGACCATGCACCGGCTCAAGTTCCAGGTGAAGAAAGCACGAGCTCTGTGAGAATTCACAGCTTGCCTCGCGATGTCATCGCCAGCTGCCTTGTCCGAGCTTTTGGGATGGTTTACCGTGACCTTGGATCCAGGTCACAAGCCGTGAGCTAAAACTATTTACCGTGAAGTCAGAGGTGCACTAGGATGAACGGCATGCGGTAGGTGCTCAAGTTGCGTTCGCCATTTTCAATTTCCCAGGAATTTCCTAAAGGGAACCTTTCATGACAGGTGGCGCTAGTCCTGCTCCAAGCCAGACCCCTTCCGCCAGATCAGAATGCTTGAAGGTTTCCGGCCAGCAACAGTCACGCGCGTAACGAACACCCCATGGCTTCAACTTGAAGTTCAGGCTACTAAAGAGAACATCACAACGATTGAAGCACATGGTACATACGTGGAGCGATTGAAGATATAGCTCGAGGCAGACTGCACCGAATCAGGCTGTGCAGCGGGTTGTGCAGCGGACTGCCATTAGTGACAAATCGAAAACACGGTTTTGATAATACTAAAAAAGGACACGCAACCCTCCTTAGTCACGGTGGGGCCAAAAGCAGAGCAGCGCAGCGGGACGAACGGAATGGGACGGAAGGAGTAAGAAGCAGGGCGCGCGAAAAGCACGCGGCGGCACGGAACATGGATCACTGTCTTCTAGAACACCCTTCCGATGTAAGAGACTGCGGTCCTTGCCAGTGGCCATGGCCGCCGTCTTATTCTGATTCTTAAACGAATTTGACATGGAGCTGCGGAGCAAAGATAGCTGAAGAGAAGTGCCGCTGACGTGAAAGCCTGTCCTCAGCGCCCATGAACTTTTCGAAACATTGCTAGCGGTACCCAACTTGACCACTAAAGCCGTTTCGATTAGCAACGGGCTCAAGAAATGTCCAGATCGCAATAGGAGCTCTGGGCGCGGGCATCCGAACGGCCCATTTCTTTTTATCATTGCCCTGCAAATGCAGATCAACGGCAGCCTCAATATCCCAAATATGCTCGCATCGAGGGCGGTGATTAGCACTCGAAGTTCTTTGCAACTTTAAACGACCAGACGGCTTGTTGAACTGGCCGCCTCTACCTTTTTTCGAGCTGCCCACATTGAGATTTTGCGCGAGGAGAGCGCTTCCTAAGTCTGTACTCCGTCTTCGGCAAAAACTGTTATAAAATTAAAGGCACAGCCAAGCCGCTGAAGTCGGACCGTTGCTTTTAAGGAGGCTCAAAGAACTGAAAGCATACTTGGAACGTGTGCATTCCAACTTGTTCGTCCTTGCCCCCGGCGCGTCGCTTTGACAAACTCATGGAGGCAATTTGAAGCTTCTCATTCCGTCAGTCCTTTAGAAACCCCGGGTTTAAAGAACTGGAATGCAGTCAGTACTGAGCATGGTTGGCGTATTCATGTGGTTTGGAAGGTGTCGGGGCGAAGAGTGCCCCAAATTTTTTTTTCGACAGAGAATTTTCGACAGATAAAAACGAAGAGTGCGTGGAGAGTTTGTTCGACAGACGATCACTACACAGTGCGCTTGGAGGCGCCAAGGCCTAGAGACACACAATACAAATGGAAAGCAGACAGGGAGCTGCGCAAAACTATTCGAACGTCCCGTTGCGGACCTCTGAAACTGCAGACCGATACAACTGACAGACCAAAAACGATTTTGCCGTGCTGACGTGTACCCCCAAGAACCGAATTGATTGGTGCATGCAAGCAACAAATCTGTCGTTGATCCATACGTACTCGGAAGACATGGATTCGATCTGATCCTGCTTATCTGTCTGGTTATCGAAGTAACCAGGCGGCAACCAGCCCGCAAGCAACCCTGTTAGCTGCCAGTTTCGTCGTGGAACCGGCGGCATGCAGCTTACACGCCCGTGCTCAGAGGCATAGATGTGAGCAGGCGAGCGGGCAGGTTAGCAGATGTGGTTATGTTGGTGGGTTTGCATCGGTATCGACGATATAGCGTTAGCACACGGTTAAAGATGGTACTTAACTTTGAAGTTGCCTTGAAAAGCTACCGGCGCAGGCCTTTTAAAGACTTCGTCGAGCAACCAACCACAGCAGCTAGGATTCTCGAACAATCGAAGTCACTCAGGGCAGTAAGCAGTGCGAAACCCCCTGAGTGTTTAGAGAAGCTTCTCTCTCGTGTGAGGCTAAAACTATACTGCGAGGTCTACTGGATGCTTGCATCCAGGTTCAGGTCAACTTCATTGCCTCCTTGTTCTTGGACGAACAGACACAAACCCATAAAGTGAAAATCAGAATGGACATGAAAACGGCATCAAATCTTTCTGAGCTCCTAAGACATTTGTCTGTCGCATCAACGTGCCGCTTGAAGCATTTGCAGAACAGGTAGAACATACGAAGAAGAAGGTCGCGATTGCGCTTAACTAAAGATTCCGTCGGACGGCCAGACTTCGGTACCCGGGGTTTATATATTCTCCATGGAGAGCGACATTATCCTTGTTCAAACCAGAAGACGGAGTGATATCAAGAATGATAGCGTTCCACCGAGCATTCAAGTTCCTATTCAATTGATATTTGCTACACGAAGACCTATGTACCCAGCGCCAGTTATATAGCCCAAATCTATTATAGTTCCTTTTCCCGCCCCCACCCCATGGGGGGGTCATGCTTCTCAAATCCGTTCGCCCGGTTCTTCGTTTACATTCCCTGGGACATGTACCGCCCCTCCGCCCCTAAGCTAAGCTAGATTTCACCGCTACCTAACCCTCGCTAACCCCCCTTCTTAAGCTTCCTCCGGGTTACCCCCCCTGCCGTGCGCCTCTGTGTAGCGCTGCCGAATCCGTTCTTCGCTTGCGTTCCCCGAGCCGCCCCACCGCCCGTAGCCTCACCTAGATTATAAGCCACCTAACCTTTTCTTAACCCCCTTCTCAAGCTTCCTCCGGGTTGTCTCCCCGACCATGCGCCTCCCTGTAGTGCTGCCAGTTCTGCTCCGCCCGGTTCATCAGCTGCTGCTCCCCGAGCTTTCCCGCCGCTTCGTTCCAGATGGCCAGGCAATTCACCTCCGCGTCCGCGTGGAACAGCAGCTCCGCGCCGGATTCCGCCTTCTTGCAGTGGCCGTAGTCGGGGAGCTGCAGTGGAACGAGCGGAATCAGTAAAGCGGAAAAGACTGAGTACATCGGTTGTATCTTTGGATACCTGACTTGCGGTGTTAGTTGGCCCAAACAGATTCAGAACAGAAGCTCCGCGCCGGATTCCGCCTTCTTGCAGTGGCCGTAGTCGGGGAGCTGCAGCGGAACGAGCGGAGATCAGAGCGGAGCCTTAGCGGAAGTGTGACATGATACACCGCGCACAACATTTTTGTGTGAAGAGCAGTGCAGATAGTACAAAATGCGCTGGATGCCGTCCTCTTGCCGTGGCCATGGTCGAAAAGCTGCAGCGAAACAACAGCGAAAGGACGGAATCAGGACGGAACTATTCAAATTGCAACGTGTTTGTTCTAGCTTCGCTCCGTCGGAGCCGCCTTTCGTGCCATGGCAGTGATCCGGGAGCTACAGCGGAACGAGCGGAACGAGCGGATCGATCGCGGAATAAGAACCTTGAACCCGAGGGATGCAACAGGTCAACAGCATCAACAGAAGCTCCAAACCAGAAGCCAGTCTCTTGCAGCGTTTGGCAGATAATTGAAGACCGGAGCTGCAGCAGAACGGATCGCCGCTCGGAGAGAAATGAGTACGCATGCCCGAAGTCTCAGACTTTCGCTTTCTTTCATGCAAAATGATGAGCAATCTTGCATGTGCAGATTGGCGCCGCTTTGGATAATCGCAGCGGAACGGATGAAAGTAAAAGTCTTTGGAGAGGAAGTTTGTAGGTATCTCTGCCCAGGAGAGCCGTTCGTTTAGAACAGACACGTGTTCAAAGATCGGGTTTGAGATTGGAGGGCGCCCCAATGCCGAAGCATTCATTGTTGTCTGAATTACCGCAGCAGAAGACGGAACAAAGGTGGAACGGAGGAGTGGATGTTTACAAAGAAACGTTTTGATCATGAGGGCCGAGGGTTCTTACGTACCAATAGGACCATTATATTGATAGCACCTACCGGCGAATCCTTCGTTTGAATGAATTCTACTTAGTTTTTGGGAACCTGCTGCGAGATGTGCTGAAAGGAACTGGTAGAAAGTTGAAACAAAAATCGCGTGTGTTTGAGAACTGACTCGGAGCATTCCCGGGGATGAATCAGGCATCAGCCGCGCAGCCAATTGCACCCTCCTGCAAAGGCCTTAGCGGAGTAAAGCCCAAAGCGAAGACTAGGAAAGATAAGAGGAGGCACAGGGCTCTAGCACAGCTTGGAACCCTGACAAAATGTCTTCCACTTGCAGACTGTGCCGGACGAAGAATTGCTGTCCACGCACAAGTCGTGAAAAAGCTGATGCCACGTGGCAGGTTTGAATCGTCTGCAGAAACTGATACCCCTTTTCTAAGGGCCAGGCGTCAGCACCGATATGGATTGAACTCGAGAAAAGACATCAGAAGGTTATCTTTGGCGGTTGCAGCAATTGGTTCCTGAATCCTTGCAATACTCGCGGGGAACCTGCGTAGCAGTCAAGGGTCTTCCTAGGGATAATTTTGAGAGCTTCAGGATTGAACGCACGCTTTCGATGAGCAGACAATGGGCCCAGCTGCGGGAGTAGCTCTCCTCCTTGCCCTTGGAATGATATCTATTCATGAAATGATCTGACTAGTGAGAATAGCCTCCGATTCTCTAGGCCAGAGCTCGATCGAGTAGAGAGTGTGTACAAGAAAGGCTGGTTTGACTGCGCCCGCTTAGACACACGACGATATCGGTACGACCCAGCAGGATCTGTCTGCTGCCAGGAGCCTATTTATGCACTGTCAACATCTCGATCCGCAACACTTGAACGGGTTTTCAGACCTGGGACTGCATCCAGGCCCTGGTTGCTACAATCTCATGCATGGGCGACCAACCGCAGCCGGATTCTTGCGCTTCTTTTTCACACGAAAAAGATGCTGTTCCGGGGCTATGAAGCTTCCCGTAACTAGTACTGTAACACTCAGGGCGCATTGGCTCCAAAAATGTGATACCTAACACGACATGGTGAGCGACAGGGACAACATGCCTATCTGAAGACGCTTTGGTTCAACAGGTTTCATAGTGTCTGCACATCACGGTTTCCGAGCGCTTTCCCGAAACCAGGTTCCTGACAAGCTCGATGACTGGGAACAGTAATAGCCCATTCGTCAACAGTGGCTCAACTTTTAGCAACGTTGACGCTTCTGGGCACTGAAAGCCCGCGCGCTTTGCAATTTCATTGCTTTCTCCGAAATCGAGGTATTAAAGTCTAAGATTAAAAGGACTCGAAATCGTGAGCTGAGCTAGAAAGCGGTACAAATTAGGCTGACAAATGGGAGGTGCGTCTCTTCTGAATGAACCACCATCCCCCAGTACATACGTGATTCCTCCCGAACTTTGAGATAGACGTTTTCAGCGAGGCGCATACTTAAACACAGACACAGAGTCCCGATCACACTGTATCCAGCGCCTGAGTGGCTCGTTCGCAGGCGATTCTGAAAACAGCCCGGCCTGTTCGAAGAGGGCTTCCAGGCCAAATAGTACTGCTTTGACGTATATATACCACTAGCTGCCAGCAAAGCTCATGGCGATTTAATCAAGGGAACTAGTGTGGGTTCTTGGATATTTGGGGCGTTCGTCCACTCCACGGACGTAAGAAACTAATATTGCATCTCCGCATGAATTCTGCTGATTTGAAGAGTTGAAGTTATAGGGCTCCGAAAATGCTCCCTCAACACTGGAAGCTTGGCTTCCAGGTTCATAACTTCTTAGCCTTTCCTCAAGCTCAACTGAATAAGGCAAGGAGACACGAACTTGTTCCTCCTTCCGGCAGCCCAAACACTCTGATATGTTTCGTCGTGTGCGTCCATAGAACGCTCTTGGCCGGTCAGAGACGAATCTGTGGCTATGATACTCACGGGCCAAGCTTGATATGACGTCCTGGCCGCTTTTAATCTTGATTTTCTTTACTTCGACAGAAGTGCAGTCAAGAATGGTAGGGTAACTCACGAGAAATTGAAGCGCGCGATTATAAGGTCAAAAGACTCGAGGCCCAACAAAACGGTATAACCTCTCTTCACTTTAAACCGGAACTTAGAGATATTACTCCCTCTACTCTCGTGGAAAACTCCTTGGACGCAAACTCTGGAGTCCCTAACTGAACACCTGATGATGATGTGGGCGACAGCCTGGTCACATATGATGCTCTCATAAATTTGTCTGTTTCTGATACCGGACTCGTCGTATTGAGGAACTTGAAGCGGCCAAGTGAGACGTGCTCGCGTCCCAGTCTTTCCCTTCTCGGCCTTGTACGATCATAGTCTCAAAGTGTCAGCAAGCACAGGATCACAGATCCCACAGAAAACAGCCATGTACAAGGGTTCATGCTCGTTGCATACTTAACCGATCCCACTTCTAGCGTGTAATCGAGACCGCCCCGTCAACAAAGAGCGCCCTTCTAGCTTACCCAGATCGGCGGTCCTGAATATCCGAGTCTCCCACAGACTTGGTTTCGTAAGAGCGTACTCATATAGCAGTAGTCACCCACTCGCGACCGCGAGAGACAGGAGAAACAAGAAAACGGCGCTGTATCTGCACGTGGTTGCCGGCGTTCACAGAGGACAACATTGCGGCGAGAAGGTCACCCGGCCTGAAAATGACAGCATGGTCGCCTGTCGCGCGTCTGACACGGTGCAGTGAAAGCCTTGAGTTACCCTTAAATGAAGGGGCTCGCAAAGCAGGCCCTTTCAATCAGCGAACAAAGCAAAAAAGGGACTGCAAAATCTGGCGGGTCTATAAGTGGGTCTTGTGACAGCACTCCAAACGATGCACGAATTGATTTCCTGACGAGAGATATACCTTGTTGGTCATTGAGAACGTTCTGAAACCAGGTTACTTTCAACGCCAGAACGTGTGCAAGTACTAGCTGCCCAATCAGCATAACAGGAAAAATGAGCAACATACCAGGACTACAGGACTACAGACAATTCTGATTTCCGTGCATACAGATCTCTGAGAAAGCAGGCTTCTTCATGATCTCTTTTTCGCAGATTCCTACTCAGCGACGCGTCGAATTCCGTACCTAACTGTCATGCAATACAGCGTCAATCTGATGAAGTTGCTTCAGAAACACGTATGCAGAATCATGGAGATGGGACCCCGACTGCGATTTTCAAATGGCTCAGAACCTGTCAGAGCATGACGCGGAGTGGGCCATCAATCCCAATCCGGTTGTCCTCTCTGCCACGTTGCGCAGATGACAAAACTTAGAAGCAAGGCCAGCGAAGTCGACATTCAAGCAACGAGTTGCGCTCTGACAATCCCTCACCAAAAACTCGAGGTCAAATGTACGTTTCAAACAGCCGGATGACGGCACATGCGCGTACGTTGAATCACTCCAAGGAGCGCAGTGCCACAGTTCCATGTGAAGGAACACTTTTTCTGGCTCAAAGGTTGGTGGAATACAGTCGTGCCTGGATATGGAATTTCAGGCAGTTGACCATCTTCACTGCCTGGCACAGTCCGCGGAGAGTCGCAAGAAAGACGACTTATAACTGACTCCAGTTTGAAGTGGAAGACGCTCTTCATTTTCGTGCTAACAAGAGAGAGCAGACGTGATTACAGAACTGCCCAACAATCAAAAAACTAATGCAGTTGACCATTACCTTGCACGTTCGAGCGAATTCTGTTCGAGAGGCTCTGGCTTGGACGAGTGTCGCATGGGCAAGAACAGACCCACTCCGCCCGATCATCGCCCTCATAAGTAAAGCTAGAAGACGTCCGGCTACGGTATGCTGGAACGCCTAGACCACCAACTGTTCTTAGACGGCCTTCCCCAACTTTCTAATCAACCGGACATGAAGTAGGAAGCAAGACAGGCCGTCCGAAGACGCTTGGCAAAAGATTTGATTTTGAAGAACCGCGCACATTATGCAGCGTCCAACCACTGTAACGTGGCTTCACGGATGGCTACGATTGAGTTCTCAGTATACAGAAAGAGCTCTTCGGCCCTCAAATATGAAGCCGGCGCAACGCGAAGGC